TCCTATTTTAACGAATAACGTATTACAACAACAACAACAAAGTAAATCAAGGATCTGAAGGAGTTTCAAAAACCAAACAAACAAAGAAAAAAAGGTTAGAATTGCAGATTTYTGTGTCCTCCCCTCCCTCTCCCCCCCCGTTCCTTATATACCTGAAAGTTATTTGACTTGTGTTGAGGTGCTCCATTTTTTGAAAAGTGGGATCCCATGAATAAGAGAAGATTATGGCTTGGATCTCACATGACACATATAACAAAAAATTAGAACAGCCTTTCAAAAGGCATCAGCTTGTGCTTGACCCCTTCCTCGAGGTTYGGGTACAGGCATCAACTTGTGCTCGACGATATTGTCAATGTMYATGTGTCCATCCATGGTTGGGGGCAGCATTGATCTCCTRGAGGTAAACTGATCAGTGACAACGAAAGGTGCCAACTTGGAAACAYGGAACAAAGGGTAAGTACACAAGTGTGCAGGAATGYGAATCATGTATGAAGGCCCATCCGGTTMATCCCCTACAATGTCTAAGATCTCCCAGGGCCCAAAGTACTGTGGCATTGATTTACGCGAAATGCCCAACTCTTGACCCAGTTCAGATGATTTTACYGAGACTTTATCACCTAACTGAAAGTTAGAGTGCCGTCTATGCTTATTCTTAGATGCAACCATTGCATCCTGAGATTTTCTAATATGTTCAACRGCCTGCTGCAACATTTGTTCATATTTGACAGCGAAGTCTATGCTGCCAGGCTATGTGACACYCGCGGTCTAGGCCGCAGGCATTTCGGCCACTGCGGCCGAAAAAGTCGGTCGCGGCCGCGGCCCATGAGGCCCAGTCCTTGGACTGGTTTTTTAATATATATATTTTTTTCCCCCTAAAAATACGTAAAATATATATTTGACGATATATATATATATAGATAGATAGATAGATATAGGGGTGTAGGTTTTGGAAAACCCTACAATCCTATGTTTTTTATTATGGAATCGGACTTTTTTTAAGATTTTTAAAAAATAAAAAACGAAATTCGATTTAACCAAAATATTTTAAAAAAATAAAAAGAAAAGCAGGATTTTTTATTTTTATTTTTTATCATGAGGGATATGGTCCCTGAGTTGTGCTGTATTTTTTTTTGAAATGAATCTCG